AATTTACTTTCAACGTAAGAAATTGGTCAAGCAACTGCTTCTAGGGTTCTCATAACTCCAACATAACTATGGCCCTCAAGAAAAGAAAATGCAAAACAAACTCCAGCTTTCAACTCTCTCTAAGCTTGAACCTCAACTTCAGTTGGCACAATAGCTGCTGCTGGCTTGATGAACTCCTCTTCCTTTGGTGGGTGAATCGTGACAAGATCTGGAAGAGGGGTTGTGGGGCCCTGCTTTCCCTTGGGATCCCAGTCGAGCATGATCTTCACCTTGATGCCAAGTACCCCCTGATAAACAAACAAACAAACAAACACAATCAAAGCGACGATGGCATTTAACTCGCATACATATTATTGTGGATACCAAACATACGAGACAAAACAAACCTGTCTGAGAAGAACGTGCCTAACAGCCGAGTCGATATACTCTTTCACGGGCTGACCAGAAGAAATCATGTACCCATCCTTGAACTTCATGGCCTTGGCACGCTGAGCCCTCAGTTTGCCACTAACAATCACCTATATATATATTGCACACATATCAATCATATTAAGATGGAAATCAAACACGGCATAATATGGTTTCATTGAACTGAAGCAGAAATTGGTTCATCAGCATACCTCACATCCCTTGGCCCCACTTTCCATAACGAACCTCAAAACACCATAGCATGCCCTGAAGAAAGATACAAGAGTATGATAACTCAACAAGTAAATTTGCCACATCAATACTACACTAATAAAAACCAGGAGAACTAATTTAAGTCGAATACTTAACTTCTAAATCAAGAGGACTGTCTATCAACAGCTTCAGAATAACAATTATGGCAAACAAACCATCAAAGAAAAGACTTAAATAAAAACAACTACTCTGAACCAATATTAGATTAACAGGGTTCCATTCAGAGAAAAAATTAAGTCAATAATTAATAAAGTTTGGCTATGCTCATATTACCATTTACCACAGGAGAACTATATACTCAAGAGTTCACTGAAATAGAAGATGATGAAAACAACAAAAGATGCAATTATTGATGTGCTTCCTCATGGTCACAACATGACACTAGTACAGTCATACCGGTTATGACAAGGAGGAAGCTAGTTACTCTAGTCATCTTCCGACACAAGCATTGGTATTAGAGCACCAAAATTGCTTTATAGATGACTTGAAATCTCGGACTAAAGCGCCATATAGGCCAAACGTGAGACTGGTAGCAAGAAACATCGTTTATGTAAATAAAATCACGTCAAACAAGATAAAAATTCAGCAAGAAATTACCAAGTTATTCACAGAAAAAGCACCTCAGTGAGATACAACAGACAGATTAAACAAAAAAAAAAATGAACTAATAAGATGACAGGATTAAATATCATGACCATGAATTAATCTCAGTAATAAAAACAGAACTAACCTGAAGTATATCAATCATTAGGAAAAGCCTTCACAAAAATATAAATCTACAGAAAAATCTAGTCACATAATCACACAACAACTGAGATAACATAACTTCACTACAGCATTATCCTGCAAATAATTAAAACTAAATAATTTACCTTCTAACAGCAAGGCCACCAAGGAGTTTGTAACGAAGGGACTCGGCCTGGGCAATGGCGCAAAGACCCCTGTTGTTAACCTTCTCAGCATACAGCTCAACGCTGTTCTCCGGAAACTTGAACCTCTTCTGCACCACAGAGGTCAGCTCCCTGATCCTCCTCCCTTTCTCACCTATTGTACACAAATAGATCAAATACAATACACATTACATTACAGCAGACAACAAGTTCGTATTTTCAT